ATAATCACAACCTTAAAATAGATAATTAACTGCAAAATACCATAGAAAACTAAATCTTGAAAACTGTTATTATGTAATTTCCCCTGGCTTATGCTGCTATAAAATAGGGGACAGTAATAAAGTAAATTAAATCAAGAGCTTTTATGTGAACACAAAAATGTATTAACTGATTGCTCTGATTAAACTTCAGTTTAGGAACATGCTGACACACCTGATACCTCATCTTTTAATCTAACTGTAAAGAAATTTTGAGATTTTACTCTGATTACTCCATGTTTATTCTACACTATACATGGACAGGGAATATCCACATTTGTTGGCAAGTCTGAAAGACCTATCTCTGGACCTTTTTCAAATATTGAGCCACCAACCACCAAACAGATAACTGTCAGTGTTTAGAAAATGGTTAATTAACACATCTTCCCAGGGAACAATACCTGCAAAGAGACTAAGAAAGTCTGTACCTTGGGTTTCACACAACACTGTATTGAACATGTAGGACAACAATAAAATGATAATGTAGCAATAGACTTTTGACTATCCCAAACTGAGACTGATAGAAACAGAATGGAACTATAACAGGGATCCTAACCCTTCGTGTTTACTTTGTGTAATGTCTTAAGAAAACAGATATAATTGGGAAAACATCAGAAAAAAAAAGATTCAATACTTAGAAATAAACTTCAAAAGATGGGGGAAGACCTATTTAATAAGAATTTCAAGACATTGCTAAATGAAAAAATAAACATAAATACAAAAGAAATGGAAATATTGCCTATGTTCATGGATTAGAAGATTTAAACATAATCAAAATAGCCATCTTATGCAACACAGTGCAATCATTAACAAAATGTCAATAGAATTATTAAAGTAAATATTGCAAATATCCCTAAAATTTATTGAAAAACCAAAGATCTTGAATAGCCAAAACAATTTTCACAAAGGAAAAAAAGTGAATGAAGGTGTTATATCACCAGACTTCTTTCAATACTAAAAAGGTTATAGTAACCAAAGCAGCATGGTATTGGAATAATAATAAACATACACTGTGTGTGTGTGTATGTGTGTGTGTGTATCTTTGGGCATTTGGGTTGTTTCCAAGTTCTTATTATACATATTGCTGCCACAAACATAGGAACACACTAATTCAAAGAATTAGTGTCTTTGAAGAAATACTATTCAACAATCAAAAAAGAAAAACTAGTATTATTTACAGCAACATGGATGGAGCTAGAAGTGATTGTGCTCAGTGAAATAAGTCAGAAGAAAAAAAATTAAAATACTGGATAATTTCATTTATAGGAGGAATAAGGGAACCAAATAAGACATTAGGGAAAAATAATAACCGTAACAAAGCAAAACAAAAATGAATAAAACTATAAATCAGAGACATTCTATAAGGAAGGTTGAGGGAAACAGATAAAAATGAGGGAGAGAAGAACAAAAAGGATTACGGTGATTGCACACAGGTGAACTGGTAGTAGAAATTCTATGGAGACTACACCTGGGAAAAGAAAGCAAACATTGTAAAAAAAAAAATGTGTATATACATATTATCTATTTCTATATACATATATGTGTATATATACATATGTGCATGTGTGTGTGCATGAAAATAGAAACACAAACCAAGAAGAAGTAAATTGAGAGCCTACAAATAAATTACATTTATATAGATAGTTAATTTTCAAGGAAGGAACTCCTTGGCAGCTTTATATTTTCTCCTCCGTTCTTGGAGGTTTCACTACTATATTTTTTCTTTTTGATCTTTATCTAGATATAGGAGGGTTATTTTAGCTTTCTTTATTTGTACATTCCTTCTCTTCACTTGGGAAGTTTTCTTTACGTATACTTTCTGCTCCATTGTCAATCTCTTCCTCCTCTGATATTCCAACTATTCTTATTTTGTCTTTCCTCATGGAATTAGATAATTCACACAATGTGTATTTTTTATTTCACTTTATTTCTCGTTTTTCTTCTCTACCTGTGCTCTTTTTACATCTGCTTATCCAGTTTATACTGACTCATTTTTCTACTTGATTTATTCTAGTTCCATTACTTTCTTCTGAAATTTCCATTTCCTATGTTTCTCTCTTAACTATTTTATTTATGTACACATGCAGAACTGGGGTACAGGCCAGAGGTGCAGGGGCAGTGAGAGGATTCACCAGAAAGAGTGGGGAGAAGAACAGGCAGATCAACAAAGTACACTGCTGAGGGGAGCAGCAGGCGAGAGAGGAGAGGTCTGCTGCGCTATGTGGATCACCTCTGGGCAGGGATCCAACTCTCACTTGAAGCGGCCACAGCTTGGCTTAGCAGCCCTCCAACCCGCTATGCCACCAGGGAGAGCCTCCTATATTTATCTTTTTAAATCTTGAACCTCCATTTCTATCTTTTTTGGGGTTTCTTTTTTTTTTTTGCTTTCTTTATTTTTTTTTTTAGGACCTTTCTTTTTTTTTCTCAGTTTTCTTCTATTTCTTTTAATTTCCTTATAATTTCAATTCTAAATTCTTTCTGAGAGGGAAAACATATTTTCCATGCCTATGAATTGGAATTCTGCAGATTTGTTCTTTCTCTGTTATACTATTCCCTTGAGTATTCATGATACTGTTTGTTGGAATTGTTTTTCCTTCTCCCCATTTAATTAGTTTTTGACCCCAAGTTTTGTATGTATAGATTCCTTTGGCATGTCTCCTCTATTCTCACTGGTCAGTAGGCTCACCTATCTGAGTAAACAGCTGGACGGGTCTCACAGGAGGTCACAAGCCCTCTCGTTGCTCTAGCCTGCTCCCTCACAAAGGGTTAACTCACCAGCCTTTGTGGGTGCTGGCAAGATCTCATGAGAGGCTGTGAGTCCTACACTGTTTTTGGTGGGAGCTGGTATAATGATTTGGAAAGTCACAGGGCCTGAGAGTTCTGGTATCATCCCCAATGTTGTTCCCATGTCTCACCGCTCTGGGAAGGTGCCTGCAGAGATACAGGCAGATGCTGATGTGATCTCATGAAGATTCCAAGGTTTCTGCTAATCTATTCAAAAGGTGGGTGCTAGGATCCTGCCCCTTAATTTAAGTAGAGTATGTCTTTCAATATAACCCTAAAAATTGGCATGGGAGGGAATGTTTCTGAAAATCTGTATGTCAGAAAATAGCATGATTTAAACATGCTTCCTTGATATAAATTTGCCAAAGAGAAGATTTAAGGTTACTGTATTATAGGTTAACAAAGGATGGTTTGTTGGATTTAACTTAGAGATAAATTTGCCTTGCTTCCTAGCTCTATCCCTTGTCACCTTATTTTTCCACCATTATTGATTTAATCAGAAAATAGTGGTTATCCTATATTTTTCCAGCTTCCAAACTTTATTGCTAGTGCCCTACCTCTTAGTCTTTTGGGGTTTGTGTATTTAGACTATAAATAGTTCCTCCAAGAAAGAATGTTTATTGGAACTGATCCTCCAGCCCTTTCTTTTGTCATAGGATCACATATGAAAATGGTGAATTCTAAGGATAAAACAATTTGGAATAACAAACCTATAATAGACTGTACTTTCCACAGAGAATCACATGATCCCACATTTGTTATTATCTTATGTATATTCATTAACATTATCATTCAAACTTTATAAATTTATCTTTGGAATAGTACAGTATAGGTCTGTAACTCCAAGTTATATAAGTTATATGCCTTTTATATCTTTTGTCATCAATGTCATCAAAAGACCTCTGCCTTGACCGTCTTTGTAAAGACATTTGGTAAGCAACAACAACAACAAATATCGACTAAATTAAAGAATACAAGTTACTCAAAGTGAATGAAGTCAAAATAAATATATGCATGCTTGGTATTTCTAACAGAGAAAGGGATGAGAAAAATTCAGTAACATGAGATGGAAATATCCAATTAGATTTAGTATGCAAAACTACTAGACATATACTCTAATATTTGAGCTCTAGTTGCAAAAATTCACTTGAATATAAGCAGACTTGAAATTCCATAATTTCACATCAGAGATAACACTTAAAACCCAGAGGACACTCATACATTTCTATACTTTTAAGTTACTTTTTACATTTTATAGATAGAAAAACAGATTTGAGCAAACTATTTAACATTTTTGTAATGATATGCAGATTATAACATATTCAAATTTAATTTAGAGATATATTCTCCTCAATAAATTAGAGTTCTCACAACTCTTGATTACCTAGTCAGTGTGATGCCTTCATGTTATGCAAACTAAAAATAAAAGAATACATTCCAAAATATGCAGGTAGAAATTTTCTATGCACTCAACTTCTCAATCTACAGTTGTATTAAGAGGAAACACTGGAGGGTTCTCCCTGGTGGTACAGCAGGTTAAAGCACAGCCTTAAGAAGTTAAATCCATGAGTTCAATCCCTTCCCATGAGGTGGTCCACATGGCATATCAGACCTCTGCTCCCCTCAGCAGTGTACTTCGTCGATCTGCCTGTTCTGCTCCCCACTCTGTCTCTGGTGAATCCTCTCACTGCTCCTGCATCTCTGGCCTGTAACCCAGTTCTGTACACTTAAATAAATAAATCTTAAAAAAAAAAAGGAAGCACTGGATATGCAGTAGAGATTTAGAGTAATCTCCTTCTATCATATCTAAAAATCATAGTACACAGTTCTCTATTTTTTATTTTAAAGCTCAAATAATAGGCAATTCAAATTTCATTATCTTGCTGATTCTAGAATATTATATTCATGGTGTTTATATATTTCTCAGCAACTAGCTCTGCAAATATCACAATTCAATAGCCAAAAATACTTTAATACTTAATATGTGCCCCCAAAAAGAACTGGTATCATATCTAGGTGTGTGTGTGTGTTCACAAAATGACAGGTAATAGATAGGAATAAGTCATAAATTGCCATCCATTAATATGTATTTTTTTACAAGTTTTCAAAGATCACTTCTTCTGGACAATGGGAACATGTATTGATTTTTCAATATTCTTTCTGTTTGAAAACATTACTTTTCACATTTTTTGTAAGCTAAATCTTTTTCTCAATAGTCTTTGCAAGGCATTTTTCACTTCTTTGTTCCTCAGGGTATAGATGAGAGGGTTCAATAAAGGTGTTACCACAGTATAGAAGAAGGTGAAGAACTTGCCATGTTTTGATGCAAAATGGTTCTTTGGGTCTGTGTAAACTATGGCCACTGTCCCATAAAACATGAAGACAACGATGAGGTGGGAGGAACAGGTGGCTATTGCTTTCTGTCTTCCCTCCTCTGATTGGATTTTTCCTATGGCTTGACCTATGTAGCCATAAGAAGTCAAGATCAGTCCCACTGGGACAATGGTGAAAAGGACAGCAGAAATGGTCATCTGCCACTCATTGGCAGAGGTGTCTCCACAGGCCAGTCGTATGAGGGCAGGAACCTCACAAAGAAAATCATCCAGGCGATGATGAGTACAGAAAGGCAGCTGGAATGTGATGGAAGATTGAATCATAGACTCTATCAGGCCAGACAACCAGGCTATGACTGCCAGTTTCCAACAGAGTGGAGGGTTCATAATGATACTGTAACGCAGGGGTTGGCAGATTGCAACATAGCGGTCAAATGCCATCACCACCAACAAGATGCCTTCAGTGGCACCAAGACAAAGAAACACACAAAGTTGTATGACACAACCTGTGTATGTGATACTCTTGTCTGCCCCCCATAAGTTGGATAGCATCTGTGGCACACTGGTTGTGGTGAAACAGAGCTCTAAGAAGGAAAGGTTGCTTAGAAAGAAGTACATGGGGGTGTAGAGACGAGGATCCATACAAGAGATCAAGATGATGGTCACATTTCCAAAGATAATCATAGTATAGAAGAGAATCACAATCCAGAAGAGAACCATTTCTAGCTGTGGCCACTCAGAAAAGCCAAGAAGGATGAATCCCATTGGGTAACTCTTATTGGTCATCCCTGTTGTTTTTAACATTGATGTTTGAATGTAATTGTAAATAAGACTTTGTGAATGAATTTTATAAACATTTTTCTATTGACATTTATTTAGAAAATGTAAAATGTATCTGTGATCTTTTTCTTTTACAGTAGATCTATAAATTGCAATCTCTTGTCTATAGAGCTTTGTTTCTTTGTAAAAAAAAAGAAAAATCCTCAAGGCTGATCTCACATAATTTTCTTTGATCATTTTCATTTTGCCATAGATTGTCCTTTAATTTATATACACACTAGCATTTAAAATATTAAATATTTGATCATCAAATTTATCTTTGAAATATCCACTACACCATGGGTATCATTTTAATTATGTGGTGATATTAGAAGACACATATAAAATAAAGATTATCCTGAAAGTAAAGCCTTTTGCTCCCAATGTAGATCTAAATAGTAAGTTACTAAACATCAATCATTATATGAGTGTCTAAGGAACACCTTAGTATTGGAGATATACTACATTTTAAGTAAGCCATCTAAGTTGGGCACGCTGTTCATGGTGAATCCTTTCACCACCCACTCTCCATCCACCCACACACTACTCTGGCCTACACATCATCTTTTATGTATAAATAAAACTAAATCCTTAAAAAAAAAAAAAAAGGAGGCCCTTCCTGGTGGCGCAGTGGGTTAAAGCACTGCACTGAGAATCTAAAGCCACTTCTGCATGAGTTCGATTCCTGCCTGTCCCGGAGGTGACCACATGGCGTGGCAGACCTCTCCTGACCAGCCCGCTGCTCCCCTCAGCAGTGTACTTCGTCGATCTGTCTGTTCTGTTCTCCACTCTGTCTCTGGTGAAGCCTCTCACTGCCCCTGAGCCTCTGACCTGTATCCTAGTTCTTTATGCACAAATAAATAAATCTTAAAAAAAAAAAAGGAAATTAACCAAAGTGAAATTTGTGATTATTTTAAAGCTGGGCTTCATGTGTAGGGGGTAAGGGAATACTGAGTAATGCATTGCATAACACTAACCTAAGGCAATAGTACTTGGGGGACATTATCTTGGAATAATAATAACTCCAGAAACTGTAAAATATCTAATAGATACCAAGAATGTAAAAATCATAGGGTATAAAAATATGCTGTTAGGTGAAAAATAAAAATATACTGTGAAAATGACTGTTTGAAAGCTGGCAAATAATGAATAAATTTGAGGGTCACTATAAGAAAATGTCCTTATTTAATAGCAACTGCATAGATACTTATGCAGTACCTGTGCAGGCAATATGCTTGGATCCGAAAATACAATGTTAAAAACAGAAATAAAATGTCTGTTTTTATAGACTTTATGAGAGACAAATGAATACATGAGCAGTTGGATGAACTATTTTAGATAATAAATTATTAAAGGAAAATAGGATATTATAATTGGGAATAACAATGAAGGATGCAAGAATCAGAATAGAATCATTTCATGCTGGAAAAATAGAAAGAAAAAAACTGTCTCTGAGAAATTATATTGTCTACAGGAAGTTTCCTGTAACCAGGGAAAAGTGAGAGCCATGTACATTGCCTGTGATCAGAATATCAGTGAAATTCAGGTTCTATTTTCCTGTGTTCAAGCCCTGAACTAAAATCACTGTTTTCCTCTGATGAACACCCTGTTCAGCAGATTTAACTACAGAACCTCCATTCTTTTCCATAGACTGTATGACCTTTTCAGTTCTCTCATTGTTTTTAGAGATTTATTTAATGTACTTACCTTCAACCAGCTCAGACTGGAATACTGCATTTAACTGTTGCATTTGAACAAAAATTTTCAAGTAGTTCATCTGGCCTTTATATCTTCTTCACTAAATAAATTATTTTAAGACCTTTAAAACATTCGTGAAACAAAAGATTAAATAAAGTCGTTTTATAACCCCACCATCAAATATGTCAATCACTCTATTTGGTTGGTCTTACACTCTATATTATACACAGGAAAATACTATGTAAAATATATTAGATATAGCACAGAAGTAATATAATTGAGGACATAGCTATAACTGTGAACGTATTCTCAGGTTCTTAAATTTAGAAATATTCTCTCAATATATAACTTAAAATTCATGTTTTACTTTACTATAGTAATTTATAAAAATTTCTACTATTTTTATCTTATTTTAACTAAAATTGTATTGAATTTTTAGAATGCTATGTTTTTTGGGGGGGTCATCTTCACCCCTTTGTGTGTACAGGCCTCACCTCACTGACCAACAAAGCAACAGTGCCATTCTCACTATCAGGTTTGTGTCTTCTCCACTTCCCCATCCCCCCATTCCCCTCAACCCCATAACATCTATAATTCTTATAAAATCTAATTGTTTGCTGTGATTTGTTATAGCTATTTGTATTTGCTTTGGTCATTTATATTCAACATTTGATATTAACCTTTCACTTTCTGACTAATATATTGCAAGTCCATCCATGCTATTGTAAAAGGCAAGATTTTATCTTTTCTTTAATAGTTGAAAGGTTTTCCATTGAGTATATGAGCTATATATTTTTTTGATCCAGTCATCTATGGATGGGCATTTAGGTTATGTCTATGTTTTACTATTGTGAATAATGTTGCTATGCATATAGCAGTGAATAAATCTTTTTCAGTTAGTATTTTCACACTCTGGTTAGAAATCTAGGAGAGGGCCCTCCCTGGTGGTGCAGCCGGTTAAAGCACAGCACTAAGAAGCTAAAGCCACTTCAACAGGAGTTCCATCCTTGCCCCGAGGTGATCGACATGGCGTGGTACTGAAAATAATGTAATTATAAATTTTAGAAATTAAATAAGCTCTGTCTTATCATTTCCTTCCTTTATGAATTTATGTAAATCTTATATTCACTTTTTTCTTATTCTATTGCACCTCAGAAATATTAGTAGCTTACCTGTTTGGAAATCAATGGCTAAGTTGACAAAATTCCTAAACTAGTTCAGATGAGAGCTCATCTCTGGATTCCAGTTCTTAGTAACTCCCCTAGTTAAATACATGGCATTGTGCTATCATTAGATGTCCAAAAGGTATGAGCATTTCTTTCCTGGTGAGGGAAATAGCAAAAGAATCACACAGGGAGCAGGGCCCCTTGGAATATCCCTGGAGCTTTTTATCCTTACAGATAATTAAAATTTCAGTCCAAAAATATTGCTGAGAACTAGAATTAAAAAAAAAAAAGTTTTACCTGTTTTCAGTGAATCTTGTTTTCAGTGAATACAGTTAACTGCCACTTTATTTTCAACTATTTTCAGTTTGTCCTCCATTAAACATAGTTATACAATTGGTTTATTTGATTGTACATGATAAGGTTATTGATAGTCATTTGCTGACTCACCCACTAAAACAATGTTTAGTGAATATCTGTCGTATGCCCACATTTGTTCTAGTCTTTAGTAATGTAGGTTAAAAAATTTTAAAAAAAGCAAAAATGTATCTTGCCAATCTAAAATTAATTACATATGAAGTTATACAATTAAATAAAGTTAGTGGTGATTGATAGTTGCAAAAACTGTTTATATGGAGAAAATAAGTTATAAAACTGAAGTTTTGATTGTTAAAAGAAAACTATAATATTAAAAAAAACAAGTTTTGATCTCAAGCATGCAGCACAATATAAGTTAGAGTATGGTACTACAAAATATGTAGAGTCGCTTCTCTTGAAATAAAAATGCAATAAATACATTTTTGTGTAAAAAGAGTCAAATTATATGCATGAGATACTAAAGGAGTAAACATAAACCAAAAGTAGAGACTAATATTTCACTAACAAAAATTGTAAAAATACCATAAAGAACAGTAAATGGGGTGCAATGTATTGAAAGTAATAACACAAATTTTATGTAGTTTTAGAGAATAGCAAATATGCTGTATTGATATTGAAGAAATTTATATTCATTATTTGAGCTATGACAAAATCATAAGAATTAAAATTCTATGAGCTCTCAAACATATAAAATATGCATTACACAATTAACTATACAAAAAAAA